TTGGAGTCTCTTTTCTCTTTTGTTTTAGAGAATACCGATTTTGTACCTCAAATGAGACGAAATTTAATTTCTATATTGAAACTTGATGCTTTTGGTTTTTCCTTTAATTTTGGTAAAAATTGTTGAATTGTTTTATGATTCTCGTTTAATTGAAAATGGCCTCTTATGTGATGATTTATATAAAATTGTCTTTGACTTCTTTTAGTGAAGTCTCTTGTGTTGCGAATGTGTCAAAGAAAAGGTCTCTAATTCGTTAATCATCCTCCATGTTGTGGCATAAGAGGTTGGATCGCATTTCAAAGGATATGATGGAGAGACTGGTTAAAGTTGAGATGCCTTCCTCTTTCGACTTCTTTGATTTTGACACTTGTGTGGATTGTGTAAAAAGAAAGTTCCACTAGGAGTGATTTTAATGTTGGGCATATTGTTGACCCCGTTACTTTTAATCAAGTATTAACAAGTTTTGAGTCACATAAATGGATAAATGCTATGGATGATGAAATAAATTCTATGGAACAGAATAAAGTTTGGGAATTAGTTGAACTTCCTCCGGATGCTAAAGCCATAGATAACAAGTGGATATTCAAAAGCAAAGTGGACTCAAAAGGGAATGTTGAACGAAAGAAGTTGAGATTGGTTGCAAAAGGGTTCACTCAACGAGAGGACATTGATTATATTGAAACTTTTTCACCTGTTTCGTCCAAAGATTATTTTCGAATCATCATGGCACTTGTGGCGCATTATAATTTAGATATTTATCAGATGGATGTTAAGACGACTTTTCTGAATGGAGATCTTTCGGAAAAGGTTTACATGAGACAACCTGAAGGTTTTGCTGTGAAGGGGAAAATAAAACTTGATATGTAAGTTAAATAAATCCTTATATGGCCTCAAGCAGGCACCACGGCAATGATATTTGAAGTTTGAAGAGGTTGTGACTTCTCTTGGTTTTGTTGAAAATACAGTCGATCAATGTATTTATCTTAAAATTAGTGGGAGAAATTTTATTTATCTTGTCATGTATGTTGATGACAATTTACTTGCAAGCAGTGATTTTACTCAATAGATGTAATATCCCGAAATTTTCTAGCAAAAAAATTAATATTTTAGAAAGTAATTAAAAATAAATAAATAAATTAGGGACTTAATTGAATTGATAGTATAAATGATATATGAATTATAATTAAAATAGTATTATGGACAATATGCATGACCTCGAAAACGTATTATCCATACGTTTTCCAAATAAACTTAATACACAAGTGTCACACCACCATGTCACATAAAGAAAACTAACACATATAAACACATAATTTCACATATAAATATATCTTGTGCTATAGTTGAGAAACATCAATATTTACCTTTTTCGCGACTTTCTTGATTAATATCTGCATTAATAAAATGATCTCTATATTAATCATGTCATAACATCTTATCTCTCAATTAATAAACCTATATTGGACATATAAGAATAAAAGACCCGAGTAATAATACTACTTCTATTGCCACTAATACTATTCATAATAATAAATATAAATGGAATTCTCAATACTTGTTATATGAAAACTTATATTTCCACAAATTATAATCAATTGGGATTGCTATAAAACAAGATCTAGAGGAAGTGGAAAAATTGTGTAATTTCCTCACTACTGTAGCCCATTATCTTAACAAAACCCATTTAATTCCTTATCCATCAATGTTAAGCCAACTTCAAAATATTATAAGACAACTCCTATGGCATCCACATTTGCAAAACTCTTTTATTTATTTGTTTATAAATTTATTTATTTGTTATTATTATTATTTTCCTAAACATAAAAAAACCCATTGCAATCCAACCAACAATTTTCGTACTAAAAACAAGTGCATAGATGATCGACATGATTCTCCATCAATTACTCAAAATCCAACAAAATCTCCTTTTACAAAATCCTTCCAAGCATCAAAAATTAGGATTTATTTTACTTATTCATAAATCTCTTTTTAGCTTAACTAAGTTTTCCCTTGAACCATCTTCTATATAATCCTTAATAATACCAATTAAATCAAATAAAACTCATTATTTCTCGCAATAACTTATAGATTTCTAAAACTTATATAGTCAAGAGTTGGAAATAAAGTTATTATAATTCATCATCCTTGATTTTATTAATTAAACTTAACTCTAATTTTATCTTTCCTCAAGTGTTAAAGACCCTAGAACAAGAATTTTAATATTTTAGAAAGTAATTAAAAATAAATAAATAAATTAGGGATTTAATTGAATTGATAGTATAAATGATATATGAATTATAATTAAAATAGTATTATGGGCATTGGAAGTGCAATTTTATTAAAAATTGAGTAATTGCATATTTACCCAAGAATCAAATGTGCAATTTCATAAACAAATAAAATATTGACATCTTTATCACATGGGTTAAAAGTGCAATTTGATTACAAAAGGGTTATTGGATATTTGTCAAGGGTTAAAGGTGCAATTTCATAAACAAATAGAATATTGACATCTTTACTATAGGGGGTTAAAAGTGTAATTTGAAAAATTGCACAATTAACCCCTAGCATTCACTATAAATAGAGGATGAATTGGGAAGTAGGACACGCCTTCGTATCCTTTTCATATCTTAAAGTATGTTTTTAAATTATTTTGTTAGTTAATTATTTATTTGTTTAGATAATAATTTAATTAACTATTTGTTTGTTTTAAGTACTTGAATTATTTAGTTAATTGTTTAGTTAATTACTTATTTATTTAGATAATAATTTAATTAATTATTTGTTTTAAATACTTAATTGATTTATGAGTAGGAATTAAAATTCTTGTTTTAGGGTCTTTAACACTTGAGGAAAGATAAAATTAGAGTTAAGTTTAATTAATAAAATCAAGGATGATGAATTATAATAGCTTTATTTCCAACTCTTAACGATATAAGTTTTAGAAATCTATAAGCTATTGTAAAAAATAATGAGTTTTATTTGATTTAATTAGTATTATTAAGGATTATATAGAAGATGGTTCGGGGGAAAACTTGGTTAAGCTAAAAAGAGATTTATGAATAAGTAAAATAAATCCTAATTTTTGATGCTTGGTAGGATTTTGTAAAAGGAGATTTTGTTAGATTTTGAGTAATTGATGGAGAATCATGTTGATCATCTATGCACTTGTTTTTAGTACGAAAATTGTTGGTTGGATTGCAATGGATTTCTTTTATGTTTAGGAAAATAATAATAATAATAATAATAATAAATTAAGGTTGGTTAAATTACTTGTGAGCGTTAAAAAGCTGACTTAATGTTTTCTCGAGAGGGTCGGGAATTTGGAACGTTAAGGCCGCAGGGCTTCTAGTTGTTCGAGTGTAACAAAACTAGTCCCGTGACACGTGGCTTCATTTTGATTAGAAGCATTTTGAGGACCGATATGGATTAGCACAGTTTTTTTTATCACATTTGGTGTTAAATTCATACTGTATACTATCACATTGGTTGGAGGATGGGGATTCATGTCGATAAGGATGTTGGCATTTGTAGCTGTGGAGTGGTCTTACATCGTTTGATTGGTGTAACGACTTTTATGTTCGATGTTAATTCTTATTGGATCGGATTATGTTGTGTAAGGTGTTATCATTACAGCTATACTTGTGTGGCCACCTATATAGTCTAACCCGGAGGTTAAAGGTTCTGTTCTATAGCAATGAAATGTTTGCCAAAGTGGGAGAATGTTAGAATAATTATATTATGTGGGCTTCCATTTGATTGCGAATTTTATGGGTTACACGTATGGTTTGCAATGATAGAATGATTAGACCCGATATGTTAGTGATCATTTGGGCCGTTGTACACCTTACGAGCTATATTATTATAATGTGGTAATTTTAAGTATGTGGGCCGGAATTATATAAACCATAATTAGGGTTTTGAGTCGGTAATGGGCCGACTTTATGATTTTCTATATAATAGTTAGGTCCCCTCTCCTCTCCATATGGTTTTGGTTTGCCCCATTGACGGCCAATTATTTTGAGGAGCAAGGAGAGGAAGGTTTAGTTGGTAATATTCATAACAATGTCTTCCGCATGTATGAATTTCGAACTATCAATTAATTATGTGATTCTTATTCTTAGCATGATTGTATTGATTAATTTCAACAGAGAGGTCTCATATTAGTGAATATCGATCCTCAGGACTCTATAGCTCGAGCTGAACGATTATGACCGTATCAATCATAAATATCATACATCTAACCTAATTTAACTCTCAAAATTCATATTGGTAAATGGATCGTGTAGTTAGCGACAATACTTGAGGAGAAGACAGTATTATAGTTGTGGATTGGGAAAGGCATATTCTATTAGAGTTCTGATGGACAAGAATAAAAATTACAAATTGAGGCCAGAAGAAACACCAACCTCCATGTTCTGCTAAGTACCTGATAAGTGGTAGCTGTATTCTTGAGGTTGCTCCTACTGTAGACTATCCAAGTAGTGAGAAATATGGCAAGAGTAATTTGAATTGATGAGATGATCCAGTTTACCAATCCACAAGCCTCTATAAGAATAATGAGTTTGAAGTGGCATGCATACTGCATAAGCTGAATATCAAACCAGTCAAAATGAACCTCCTTTTTTGAGATTAAATCCTAATGGGTTTGACCTTACCTTTTGCCATACCAGTAAATCATAAAGGTTTATGTGTGGTTTATTCAAATAGACTTGTGCTCAACATGCATATACTTTGACAGTTTCCCAACAAGGAAAACAATTCTTCAATCTTTAGTTTACAATGAAAATTTTTAAATATGGGTATCAGACTGGAATATTTCAAGTATCCAACTTAGAACTGGAGATGAGGGAGTATCATTATCATGTATAATTTTATTGATCATGAGAATGACTTCTGCAGTGTTAGTGGTAATGAAATGGCCATTTTTTACAAATGGATAGTTATCTGACTTTTTACTATCATTATTTCAGTTAAATTACTTTCTATCGTTGGTTCAGGTTTCCCCTAAAGAAATTCCACCTCCAAAAACCTCGGGTTTGCCTCTCAATGCCTATATGCTTCATAATCTTGCTCACGTGGAGCTAAATGCTGTTGATTTGGCATGGGATACTGTAGTTCGGTTTTCTACATACTGTGAGCTTCTTGGTGAAGGGTTCTTTGCTGATTTTTCTCGTGTGGCTGATGATGAGAGTCGTCATTTCTCTTGGTGTTCACAGAGACTGGCAGAACTTGGATTCAGGTAGATTTGGCTTTTACATTGAAAAAATAGCAGTCTGGTTAGTCAAGCTCATCAATTATTTTCTTCCATGAAAAGCTACGGTGACATGCCAGCTCATAATTTTCTGTGGAGGGAGTGTGAGAAATCATCAGATAATATCGCTGCACGCCTAGCAGTGATCCCATTAGTTCAGGTACCCTTTTTAGAATTCATAGAATAGCAATGCCAAATTTGATTGCTAATGCTTGTGTGATGTTTTGCTTATTAACATACGCTGCCTTGGTTTTTGTACATGCACTGTCGTTGGGAGGCAAAAGTAACTCTTATCTCCTCGCTATTTGTTAATGTAGGAAGCTAGAGGACTAGATGCTGGACCTCGTCTTGTTAAAAAACTGATTGGCTTTGGGGATCATAGGACTTCGAACATTGTTGCAAAGATAGCTGATGAAGAAGTTGCACATGTGGCTGTTGGTGTTTATTGGTTTGTTTCAGTCTGCCAGAAAATGGGTCGTGCTCCTTGCTCTACATTCAAAGGTCAATTTTATACTTGTACAGACTGCATTTATTGCTAGCAGTATTTCTGAGAACCTCTTAAACTCGCTTGTCTTTTATATGATAGACGTGTTAGAAGAGTATAATGTAGAGCTAAAAGGACCCTTCAACTATTCGGCTCGAGATGATGCTGGGATTCCACGGCAATGGTATGATACCTTATACTCTTAATGGTGCTACGCTAATTCATCTTAACCATTCAAAGAAGCACTGAACCGGATATCTATTGTTGCATAGGTATGATCCTTCCTCCACAAAGAAAGACGAGAAGAACAATAAGCTTTCTGAGGTATTCCATCTCTGAAGTTGAATTTTTGTGTGCTTAATTTATTTTATTAGAAAGTGATTGCATGAAATTTTATTTTCTTAGGGATCTCTGAAAATGTCATTGTTCATATCATATAAAAACTGTAAGAATCTAAAATGTTACTACAGGTTTATGACCGGCTTGCTTGCATAATTTCTATGGAACAAGAAAATTCAAGTTTGGGTAGAACACCTAAATGACTGTACTTGACTGAAGGGTCACACTGTTTATATATTCAGCCGTAAGAAAACCAGTGGATGCTGAATTACTCATTTGATAGCACGAAGGAATCTCTAATCTTTGCTAAAGTGATTGGTGAAGCTAATTAGCACAGGATTTCTTACTACCAACGATGAAGCATTGGGATACACTGTCTCAGCGAGGGTGTGGACCAACATTTCTAGACCCCGTTTATTAAATCTATGTAGCTGGGTGTTTTTCCTACACTAGTTAATTTTTTTTCTGGAAATTAGGGTTTATAATGTAAATGTTGTTCATTAGGTCACTTGTTGGAAATACCAGTTATTGATAAGAATAATATTTGTTGGCATTCGAACTCCGAGGTCAATAACTACGGTTTCTTATAGTTATCGTTGTCAGATTGGTATATTTGAGGTCAGCTTGGATTAAGATATTTATTGAGGCTTGAAGGGACATGATAATTATCGATTTTTGGCAAATTGTACAAACAGTCAATCGGTGAGCAGCATATGGGTGATCTTACATCAGCGCCCACTACACCTACCAATTATGTGCTGTAGCTTCATTCCCCAAGTAATTCATTAATTGTTGGGACCCACCAGTAAGGCCAAATTCATGATGATCTGACAAGTCGACCTCCCTAACTAATCCAAACGTGCCATTGATGTACCTCCTCAGTTCGGTACTATAGCTAACAAGATGGAGGAAATAGTACACATGTAGATTTTTCTGTATAAAAGGGAGAAAGGAACAAGGGAAAGGGAAGGACTTTTAGTTACAAATATTCTTACATATCATATTTCAAAGATCTTCTTGAAAAAGACGAGCAACATGTTTGTAACCATGCTTGTAATTCGCGAATATCTATCCTCAAAGAGTTTCCATTTCCCTATTAAGTTGGCTTGAATATTGTTCATACAATTTTCGACGTCAACAATATTATTTATCATCATAATGATAAATCATCGGTGATGTGTCAGTTTATGTGGTATAAAGAGATTGGGCAATTTATAATTTTGGCTTTATCAAAATATTTTTGCTTTACAATCACAAAGTTTTTGCTCTATGAGGAGATATTTATGTAATGCAGAGTTGTATTCCGTTATATTTGCTTGTTAATATATATATACATTCTAAATATGGTCCCATGACCCCATCGTTGTCATATATCTACAAAGTTGCGATATCAAACTTAGTCGAACTACTGATGTACTTTTTAATTATGCAATAAAAGGTATCTCTAATATTTGACCGAACAAATTCAATGATGCGTACCAAAAATTCTTTGAAGGAATAAGTCCCACCTTTCGAGGCCTTGGTCTCTCCGTTGCCTTTTGATGTAAAAAAAGCCGTGTGGATAATAGTGTTTCACATCAACCCCGTTTCGTTTTCAATTTGGCCCGGGAACTTGTTTCTCAATGAAAGTGACCACTTGAAGGCAACTTATGAAGACGGAAATGTAGACAAATAAAAGTGCAAGGATGATGGGTGCAAATAAATTATAAAAAAATTAATATAATTAAAATAATAAAGACTAATAAAAGTCTTCCATGAATTTCTGTAGACTTTTATTAGAGATTTTTAAAACTTTTTATATTTTAAAATAAAATATTAAGCATATATAATGTAATATTTTAAACAACTTCTTATATGTCCAAATCATTGATAACTCATATAATTGAAAATGTAAAACAATAAATCATATTTCTCATGTCAATAAAAAATTCTAATTTTTCTTTTCAAGTCGCATAAAATGGATTAACAAATAATCAAAATACCTAAAAAAAGTAGGACCTTACTATAGGTACAGGAATTTCCTGTACCTACAGGATACACACAACACTTGGAGGGAAAACATTTTTTTTTTCAATATTTTACATGCGGGGTCCACATCATGTGAGGAGGGATTCAAAAATCTGTGGAAATTCTGATAAAAATTCCCTGTACCTGCAGCTTAATTCAAAAAAAGGAATAGTATTTAGTTATGTTCAACAAAAAAATATCAAACATTCCCAATAGCATTCCATATATCACTTGCTATAGTAGCCCTCCATGCATTAGCACTCTCTCTTTCTTGATCTTGACTCTCAAAAAATGGTCCAAAATCTCCCCCTTCATTAACCGAAGAAGATGAAAAATCTTCATTATCAGGTTCAACATGAAATTCATCATAACGACACTCTTTGCGAAGAAAATTGTGTAATCCTATACAAGCTAATACCAGCTCTGCTTGTTTACAATATGGAAATGGAGGAGCAGTTTTGAAAATTATAAATCGTGATTTAAATATACCAAATATCCTCTCAACTACGTTCCTCAAGGAAGCATGACGAAGATTAAACAACTCTTTTGTATTTTTAGGATCACGGCCTTGACCAGCAAAATCTTGAAGATAATAATTAACACCTCGAAAAGGAGTTAAGAATTGACGAAGATTTGGAAATCCACAATCTCCCAAAAAATATTTACCTGAACATAAAATACTTGTAAAATTAGCACATGATATGTATAATTATCATAAAATAAGATAAAAGAAAAAAAAATGAAATAATAAAGTCATATCTGGTGGCACATAGTTCATTTCTCTTTGTTAAAGCATCACTCAACACCTTAGAATCATGTGTTGATCCCTCTCAGCCATTAAGCACATATATGAATTCCAAATCAAAGTTACAAGCGGCCAAAACGTTCTGCGAAATTGTTCCATGACGATTTCTATAACTAGTATCATGTCCAGTTATCATTGCTAGAATATAAGTATCATCGATAGCACCAATACAATCCTAAATATAATAAAACAATATAAACAAATAACGATAATACAAATGATAACAAAAACAAAAATTATAATTAATATTATTGTGGAAGAATGCGAATACGTTGTGCTCATTGACTTGAGCAAGTCAGCAGCAACAGTTTACACAAGTAAATGGATAATCACACCACAACTAGTTTGTTAATTGATATATGTAGTCCCTGGGCAACTTGAGAAAAATTTGGTGGCGCGACGGAGTTTCATTTTCTGGGAGCTTTTAAGGGAGTGTCAAACTTGTTGTACACAAAAGTGTACAACAAGAATTATTCTAATAACAATAACCAGACTTTGTTCTTTGTTCCTCATTTTATAGCTTTTCATCTCTTTCATATTTTCTTGAGCAAGTATTAACATCAATCAATGGAACCACATAATCAATGATAGAACAAAATCGATGTAATAAAATTACTTGACACAAAATTACACAAAAATCATACACCTTGCCAAACCAAATTTTACCTGATTTGAAGAGAAGGATAAAACTCTAGAAATGTGAAAGAGAAGAGAAGAGGCCGGCTCTTGAGAAATCTCACGATATATGAGAGATTTGTTTTGAGATTTTCTATTTATATTTTCTACAAAAAAAGTCTCCAAAAACCCAGTAAATTATAAATTTCCTAAAAGTCGGTATCAATTAAATACTTCATAACTTATAGAGATTTTTAAAAAGTTTCAATTGAATACCTCATTATTTTTGAAGACTTTAAAAATCTACAGATGTATCAATTGGATATACCTAAACTTTTAGAGAAGTCTTAAAAGTCTCAATTGAATACATCTAAATTTTTTAATTCTTCAAAAGTCTTTAAAAGTCCAAATTGAATACACCAGCCAATATTTGATTTTTAATAAAACCGATAAAATTCTATTGTGGTGAAGATTCCGACAATACTTATTTTCAGTTATTATCTTCTGATTTCCGCGACCAGTCCTCGTCAGCTCCGCGCTAGTCATTACCTCATTGTATCTCTTTTTAATCTGTAGAAGCCCCCAAATTTTCTTCTCATCCTCCTTTCTTAGGGTTTTCTCTCCCAATCTGTACTTGATTGTTGACATGGCCGGAATCAGGGTGCCGCCGGAGGATGCAGACGTCTCGCAGGCGGCGCGGCAGGTGGCTGCCATTGATCTGATCTCCGACGACGACCGGTCTGTGACGGCTGACTCATGGTCCATCAAGAGCGAGTACGGCAGTACTCTCGATGACGAGCAGCGCCACGCTGATGCTACGGAAGCCCTCTCCGCTGCCGCCTATCGCGCCCCCTCAGAATACAGGTTATCTCTCTCATTTCTCTAATCCTTCACAACTTCATGGTTTTTTCTAGGGAATCTTCCTTTATGAGAAGAGTGCGGAAGAAAATGGACGTCTCGTAATTAACAAGGGTCCATGGAACCTGTGGACTTGATTTTACTCTATCCATATATTTCGTTGATTTTAAATGATATTTCAAATAGGTGAGTAAAAGCATGTTTGAGAAGTGTTTATAAATGGTTTTGTTTATAAATAGATATAGACAAGTGGTGAATAGATGGGAAGTTGTTGTGGATCTAACGAAATGTGTGAATATAAAGTAATTTGAATGGTTTTAAACAAGAGTCAAACATTGGCTAAATCAATGCTGGAAATATTGATATATTAGGTTGTTGACACAAAAATAAATCTGGAAGGAGAATTATGGTAGAGTTCATAACCACATAACAATTTTGATAGGGTAAAGTAATATGTTTCCAGAAGAAAATGGACACTTCATAACTAAAACATGTCGATGTATTCTATGGACTTGATTTTACTTTATTTCGTCCTATGTATCTTATGAATTAATAATGCATAATTTGTATATGGGGGAATTATGATTGGATTTGTTACTGTGTAACAATTTAATATGGATGGAGTTTAATTTTTGTCAACAATTTGCTACTTAATTCATAGACGAACAGAAGAGAGAAGTTCTTATAATGAACCAAGAAATATTTATTACTTGTATTCGGACGTGATGCCCTTTGACCACAATACTAATAAAATACACTACTATTTGTTCAAAAGGAATTATTGTCGTCTGAAGGTGAACTATAGACTTTAGGGGCCAGTTACCCAAAATTTGTAAAATATCATTATTGCATGAGCAGTTCTGACAAGGAGGAGCCAGATGCTGAAGCAGTTTCATCATTGCTGGGTTTTCAGAGTTATTGGGACGCTACATATGCAGACGAGTTGGCAAATTTTCGGGAGCATGGTCATGCTGGGGAAGTTTGGTAAGTGGTGCCATGGTTTTGTAAGTTTTATTTATTAAATGTTCACCTCTGGTCAGTATAATTCAATTTGACTGAGACATACTTCATGCTCTCTAATTGGAATTTAAAAACATAGAAAGTGGTTGTAACTTCAGACATTTTTGGAGAGTAGTTGTCAACTTCGCATGAATATTTTCTCCTATATCCGGTATGCCTAGCTCAAAATAGTGTTTGAATGAATTGGTATAAAGAGAACAAGTATAAGCATAATTTTTACCATACCTCATGGCTTATCCTTTAGTGGATCATATACAAATTCAAAACTTTTTCACAATCTCTAAGGGGCTGTGAATCAGTAAAATTTTCAGGTCTTATCCCCTCTCTGGAGACAGATTATTCTAGGAGGTGGACTCCATAACCTTCAATATTAGTACTTGAAGCAAGTTTCACTCTTGCTAAGCTCTCTTGTGGTTTGGGGATGGCAAAGTGTTTGGCCATTGCATCATGGGCATGGGAAGGATTGTAATTCTCACATGCCCCATTTAGGTTACTTGTGACTTCAGACCAGTGGCTATCTTTTGGTAATATGACAATATATCAGAATCTTGCTGCTCTTAACAAACTTGGATATTTGCTTCTTTTTATTCTATGGCTCTTAGACTCATCCTGTATTTTATGTATTTCCACTAATTACTTCTTAATGCTTTCTGCTATATTTCTTCTGGTCATCTGATAGTTATTATTTAACATTGAGAATGTCCTACTTCTTAATTATATGTGCTATATTTCTTCTGGTCATCTGATAGTTATTGTTTAACACTAAGTTCGCTCGTAAACCTCCATGTGCAATATACTCACAAATACAATGTCATACATGACATCCTGCTTTTTTAGCCTGGAAAAAGCAGCAAAACAAGAATTTAGGGAAGAGGTCACTGCAATGAGTTTACATAACACTGAACCCCCTCCCTATTTTCTTCTCTTGGTGCCCTTGCAGGGGAAAAAGAATACGTGAAACTGTAATTTTGGAGCTACTCTTGACACAATATTCTATATATTCCCATTCTGTAGGTTTGGAGCTGATGTGATGGAAATTGTTGCTTCTTGGACCAAGAACTTATTCGTTGGAATATCTCAACGTCACTTGCCAAATCATATAGATATTGCAAATAATTTGTCTGCTGGAGAGCCTGAAAAGGAATTGTCTAACTGGAGTGTGCTGGATGTTGGCACTGGTAATGGTTTGCTTCTTCAGGAGCTTGCTAAGCAGGGGTAGGGATAATTTTGATGTTTAGCAGCAATTACTCGTATACTGTTTGAAAATATCCAAAATTTGATTGGAGATGCCTATAATTTTGTTTGATTCACTGCCCGTTGCATGTTGCAAGCATGGTGTGTTGTCTTTCTTCTTTGTTGCGTCATTTGTCTGTAGCATTATTTTCACGAGTACCTCAAGAAACTTTTATAACGATCATTTTGCTATGAAATTAGAAATGGAGGGAAGGGGAAGATTTGATGCAAGAAGAAACTCCTAGCTTGAGCATGTGTATTCCTCTGCTTGATAAATTATAAAATATGAAATCACTTTGTAATGCTCCATAGGTCCGCTGCTGGCTCTGGTTCCTCACCACCTACATCCAGATAGGTTATACATAATTTTGTTTTTATTATGGATTCATTCCAATGGTAATGTTGCAATGTTATACTGCCAATTTTGAATCTTTGTTATGGCGTGATTCCTTATATTCGTATTTCGTGAACAATGATTGAGTTCCAAAATTTACAGTGCTTTTTTTGAAGGTGGAATACAACATTTATTTTGAGAATAATAGCTGATTTGATGGGGAAGTTTTCTTTCTTTCTTTTTTTTTTTTTTTGTAAAGTATGGGAGGATAATCCCTTCTGTCGGTGTCCATATCTATTGAAGATTTTCCCATGTTTGCCTGTTTTATTGATGGCGTCTCATTATTTATTTTCAGTTTAGTTTGTTTCTCCACCTATCGAAAGTTTAGTTTGTTTCTCCTTCTTTCCACCACCTCAGTTGTATACACGTGCATATAAAATTTTGGGCTAAAGAAATTCTCTTACCTTTTGTCAATCAATGCGGAAACTTTAAAACATCCCAAAAGTGAAATGGCGCTCTTAAAGTGGGTAAATCAATAGCAAATATATGTGTAATCGCATCCAGACATGAGACTGGCTCCTTGCCATGGCATCCATAAACTAGGACATGGAAGGATAGAATAACGTATTTAGTGCTTGTTTGGGTTTTCATTATAAGTTAATTTATAATGTGATGGAAATTAGTGGTGGATAAGTGTGTATTAGTTGTGTGTCCTATGAAATGTGTGGTTTTAAAGTTTGATTTTAACCTTTAAATTATACGGAACTTGTAATGAAACCCACAAGCACTTAATACAAACCATCTGCTTTCAAAGAAAGAAGGAGATAAAAGTCTACATACCTTCAAGGATACTTCTGAATTCTGATGTTTATGGTTAGTAACATGCTGGGGACTATTTGTTACATGGTCTTATTAACGGCCAAAAGATGCACGAAAATGTACTTGGAAATTTAAAACGTTCTTGGAACTTGGCCTGCATCTGAAGTGCTCATCACTCTCCTTTTGAATTGGTAATAATTCTATTATATGATTTGAATGCTGTTTGGAATTTAGTATGATCTCCTCAATAAGGCTTGGGAGCCTGAAAATTCTTTGCTAATGTTCTATGCTATGCTCTTAACAGAAGTAAATAGGCACAAGTTTTTTGTTTACTGAGGCTTTGTTTGATCCCCATTTTTTTCCTCATTGTAACGAGAGACTGCAACGGTCATATTTCTTAATATAACGAGGAAAAAATGGGAATCAAACACACGGTGAAAATGTTATATGATCATCGCAGGCTATTCTCTCTCCCTCTCTCTCTTTGTTTATTGTTCTTAACGTTATGGCATGTAAAACTTAGTCTTGGTCTTTTATGCAATTAAAATTTTGAAACTTCTGAAGAACTAATTGTGACACTTCTGCATCTAAGGTTCTCTGATCTGACTGGAACTGATTATAGTGAAGGAGCAATAGATCTAGCTCGAAGCCTCACCGATCGTGCTGAATTCACCAATATTAAGTTCTTGGTAATTTATATCCTGATTTTTACTTGTGCTATATGACTTGTTCTCTTTTATTGTCTCAACAAGGTTAATATAGTTATTGTGACTTCAATACTTATTAACATTTATCACTGGATATGCCATGAAATGATTATTTGTTGCCAAGGCATATTTGTTCTGATCTCAACAATCAACATTAATATGAATCTGTCATGGTAGATGCTGCTCTCATAATTTAGAAGTGAAGTTTGTGTCTATGACACTGAAAAGTTGAGGAGGCCAGCACTTGAGACTTTAATGAGGTAGGAATTTTGGGGAGTATAACGCTTAATGTACCCCTTCTATCTTGCATTTGTGAATGTTACTCCATACTTCCCGCAGAATTATTAAGTATAAGTGGACAAGCTTATGCTTCTTCTATCTTCTCGGTGCTGAATGATATTCTCTTGTGACAAGACCATTGCTGTTTAGTTTCATATGATTGACAACTTCCCTTTTATGAAAATTAAGAGAACTCGGGAGTATCCTTCCTTCTTTAGAACATACAAAGAGGAAAAAATGCTGTAATATTAGGATGGAGGCGGTGGACAATTATGTGACATGAGCGTTGTACGTTTATCTTGTTATAGATGTAGTCCAAGTATAATTTAAATTTTACAGCTGGAGGGGTCTATTTCTAGACTAAGGTACACGTTTTCATAATTTAATCTACAATAATGGCAATGCAACTTACTTCTACTTACTTTTTTATTTTCTGGAAACACTATTCATTGGGACAATGGATCAGAGATGGTTGGGTGAAATTGTTACACTCAAGTACTGACGACAATGCATCATGAGACTATATTTTTTTATCCACTCCGTGCATTAGTGACCGTGGAGCAGTAACCTGTGATTACATGATGTAATCTTGTTGGTGAATTCGATGTTTTAAACATTTCCCTTGTGGCTGTGAATAACCGTAGCCCTCATTTTCGGTATATGATTTTGAAGTAAACTATAACCGGCATCTGAAGTGTTGAATAATTATGACCATTATGATTCAACTAAACTAACTGCAAATATGGAGTATCCTGCATGCAGTTCATGAAGTAAACAAAGTTTGACCGGATCTTTTTTTATTACAAATATTTGTCTCTGCAGAAAGACGTGTTTAAAGTTTTGATAATACTTTTGTTTCCTCTCTTGTTCTTTTTCCCCCCCTTTTCTTGCATCTTTTTGTTGCCTGTAATATGTTTAATGCAGCTCAATTAGTGTCTGCAAAATAAGATTGATCCTGTATATAATAATCTCATTATGACTTTTTCTTACGCAAAAAGGATAAGGGAGTCTCAATCGATTGCCCAAATACCAATTTAAAATACACCAATTTTGCAGATTCAACTGTTGAGGGATGCAACCCTAAATTTTTGGTATTGACCCTTTTATTTCCTTTCCCCAGGGTGCAAGCATCCCAGCCCAAAAAAAGTTGCCCAAAAGTAAAAGACCATGTTAACTGTTGTGCATAAATGCACAGAATGAAATGTGCCAAGTGCCGTGCATTGATTATAGATAGTTAATGGTCCTATTATTTGCTATTTGTCTTGTACATAATCATTACTTATACTTCCTCAGGTGCAAAAGTTGATCTTCATTCTTTTGATTTGGTTTTCAGGTTGACGACATTCTTGATACCAAATTAGATAAGAAGTTTCAGCTTGTTATGGATAAGGGGACTCTAGATGCCATTGGGTTGCATCCTGATGGTCCTCTTAAAAGGTGGAATATCATCTTATATACTTTGAGTGTATTTTTATTACCATGTCTTGTATTTCCTGACACCATGGATCAGGTTTCTCTGTATCTAATATAGTCGTTCACCAGAAATGAAATGAAGTTCCCTAATGTCTCCAAACTAGATGTATTGACAATTAGAAGATTTCTGTTTCAGGTCAATGTATTGGGACTCCATCTCCGGACTCGTAGCTTCTGGTGGGTTGTTGGTGAGCATCAATACTGTGTGATTCCCATTTCTTGCCATTATTTTTTCTGTTGTGCTATTTTAAACTTTCATTATGCAAGCTTGTTATATTTTTAATCACGTTACTGTGGAGGGTTTGTATTTTGTCTCCTGGGAATGTATAACTTTGATGCTTCTCTACTTCTGAATAAAGGATCATGTTTTCTTGTTTGTTGCAGGTTATTACGTCATGCAACAGTACGAAAGATGAGCTGATACAAGAGGTGGAAGCTTTCAATCAAAGGAGTGGTGCATCTCCAGAATCTGTCACTGCTGTTGACCTAGATGCATCCAGAGATCCCCCTCCATTCCAATACATCGACCATGTTCGGTCATATCCTACATTTACGTTTGGAGGATCAGTTGGTTCACGTGTTGCCACTGTGGCATTTTTAAGAAACTAAAATCAGTGAAGTGCCAACTCATTTTGGCGTGTTTTATGAGCTCATGTTCTGTGATCATAGTCATTTAATTATTTTGGGTTTTTGCTTATTATGTGGAGAAACAAGCATACTCATTTTCTAAAACGATGACATTGTCTCGGGGTATGTACTCGTTTTGGGCCTACTAATGTCACGGTAGAATGGAAAAGTGGTTGATTGTGGTTTTTGCATATTCAGTGACGTACACGTTTCCTGATTTAACGAAGCCTTTTGATCCCATTCCCCTTTTTCTAAAAAAAAAAATTTATAGATTACTGGCTGTTCATGCTGCCAAATTCACACAATCATGGTTCATGTTCATTTGTGAGTTCTCATGGTTAATTTGCTGTGTCTTCATTTGTCATGTATCCAATGATTTGCATTTTGCCAGAGTATTTGATCTGATTTAGCTTTTCTAATTAGTAAAAATGTTATTTGGCTGCGGTATATCATGCAAATTCTTTATTTTTTTTAAATACATATTTTTAACTTAAAATTTTAAACTTTCACTTTATTTTAAGAATGTGTTTGATGCACATTAAAATAGAAAGAATACATTATTTTTTTATGTGATGGTGAATATGTGGATGAAAAGGAAGGAAAAGTTGTTGATGTAATGAAAAAATTATTTTATTAAAGAATGTGTGTTAAAAATGAGTAGAAGAATGAGAATGTGGTTCAAGCAAAGTGTAAATATAGAATTGTTGGCAATGTCCTCTACAGTAGGGGGCCCTAGTGCAGGACAGGGGCTGCGCAAGGCTTGAGTCATCATACCGGTCGAACTTCTGTCTTAAGCATTACAATGCATTTTAACGACACACATTTGTAAGAATAATATACACTAAAAATCAGAAGATTGTAAATTTCGAGAGAATAAACTTTATTCTATCAGTATATTTTTTCTTTCATTACACATTTTCAAATTAATGCTAAAACCTCAGCAACCAAGATGAGCAGCAGATAAGACCCCGTTTGCCAAATAAGTAAAAACTATGGCAGTCTCATCAATACAAGGAATAACATCCCAAGAGCCAAACTAGGCCTTGTGCTCATCAATCGATTCTGTAAAATCCCTACTAATTCACATACAATTTCGTCAAAATGCGCATAATATTGCTTCTCTTCTTCCATTGCATCCAATCTGCAGGAGGCTCATAGCTTCTTTCCATCAGCTCTCTCTCGCGAATCCGTTTCCTCAATACAATCATGATTTCATCGACAAGCCGACCCGCGCTGTAGTCCGAGCAACAGGACCCGGATCCTCTGCAACTGCAAGATATATCTTTCCAATTTGATTTTGGTTTTCTCGCGCAAATTGATCCTGGCTTTTCACTTTGGAATAGAAAATTTGAAGAAGAAATTAGAAGAGTTTTCTCCATTGGTAAGTTACTAATAAAATTAGTGATTTTGTGGAGTAGGGGTGTAAGCGATCCGGTTTTACAGATTTTTTGACAAATATTCAAACCAAACCGTATAAACCGGTTTGAGAAAAACTCAAACCTAAACTAAACCATTTTGAACGGTTTGAAAAAAACTCAAACCTAAACCTAACGGTTTGGTCCGATTTTAAACCGTAGGTTTCGCTGTATATTTTTTTGTCTGTCTACTTTTATGACATTAATTCATTGAATTCAATATATATTTATATCTTACTAGCAATAAATCTAAAACAAACTAAATATATCTACTACAAATTTAAATACCCACTAAATCAAAGTGAAATCACAATAAACTAAAATATAGTTTTTTGTTTGCCACTTTAGGCTAAGGCGTTACGATAACGTTACGATACAAGTCTACTAAACTAAATATGAAGCCCAAAAAACATAATGATGTTCAACAAGATCTCGTGATCATCATATCTGAAAAACAAAATTACTGATTAGACAGAGAGAATAACCAACCATAATAATAAATCAGTTGTTTATAATATCTAAATATAACAATTAAACAAGCTTACCGTTGTATATTGTTACGAATTCAGTTTCTCACATATACTCAAACTTTAATTGTTGTCACACATGATTTTTAATCTTCATTGTCAAACAAATGCATTCGTTACATCATCATAGTATTGGATACTGATCGATAAGAGAATCTTGAAAAATATGGTAATATAAAATATAAACCATCTCCCACAACTTTCATTGAATTATCAAATGCTTCCACTTCATCTAAATATTGGCACAGCACTATAGGTATTTGCAACCAATTCTTTCCGCATATACAAGCATCTATCATCCTTGCACATAATAAACTCCTAAAGGAATCAAGTATTCGACCTCCACTTTAGAATGCAGACTCAGAAGCAACTGTAGAAATTTGAATTATGAAGAAGAAAGGGTTTTTTATAGATTAGGTTAGTCTTGAAATTATTAGATATAAATTAGGATCGTTTGGTAATAATAATATATATATAGTAGAAAATTATAAACTGAAAAAAATACACACAAATGACAAAACTATTGAATTTTACATATTTGGATGAATTTTAAAAAAAAAATCATTATTTTTATTTTTATATATTTTTCCACCGGTCCCGTTTGATTTTAAATTGCAATTAAAATTCTCAAACCTAAATTAAACCGTTTTTGACCGGTTTGGTTTGGTTCAAAACCAATTCGTTGACTGGTCCACGTGGCACCAAATCGACGGTTTCTAAAATGCGGTTTCGGTTCGATTTTTCGGTTGGCGGTTTTTGCTTACAGCCCTATAATTCAGGGTGGGCACAATTTATCGATATTAAACGTCGAGTTTTTGTCATGCATGTAATGATAATAAAATATAAAACAATATTACGATGATATTAAAAATAACATAGTTTATAAATTACACTTGCTCATTTCGAGTTTTCATATTTTGATATCGTCATACAATAATTTCATTATCGAGCTTCAAAATATATCTTTTTCTACATAAACAATTGTGTTATCATTCATCCACTGATCACCCATCCGATTACGCAATCTATCATTTATAATACTCGTTGCAGAAAAGACTCTATCCACAGTAGCGGTAGCAACCGGTAGAATCAATGCTAAAATTAAAAGTTTGTAAACCAATGGATATACCATATTTTTCTTTGTCAGAACTAACTTTTCTGCAAGATCACCAAGGTCGTTCAACCCTTCAAACTCTTTGTTAGAGCGCATATCAAAAATATAAGTCTCAAATTGATCATGAAGTACAACGAGATCTATTACGAAGAAATCTAATGGATAAAGCTCAGCAAGTCGAATCAAACTTTTCTTGTCAAAAGAAGAAAATAAATCTTGTGGACATAAACAAACTACGCAATAAGCAACTCTGTATTTTGACTGTTCATTTGAAATTCCCAAGACACTTCTCATCAACTGCAAATTATATTCAAAATCAAATGTCTGTATCGACTCCAGTAAATTTGTCGCATCAGATCTTTGATCACAAGAACAAGAGTGATCTTCAACAATTATTGCAAGAACATTAATAACAGAAGTGAACATGGCAAGTAAGCTGACCAATTATAATGTGAACCCCATCGTGTATCACCAGCACATTGAAGGGTTGTTTCTTGATTAAGTCACCGTCCACTTAAAATCTCACATTTCTCCAATGCCTCAACAATAAAGTCTGATTGTTTCTCTCGAAGAAGATCACAACGTGTAGAAAATGCTCCAACAGTATTTACCACATCACCAACTATATGAAAGAAGTTAGTAATAGGAATCTTTTTCTTCGCAACAGCTACAAGAGTTAGTTGGAGTTGATGAGCAAAACAGTAAATATAAAAGGCACATGGATTCTCCTTTAAAATGAGTGTTTTCAGACCATTAAATTTACCTTACATATTACTTGCCCTGTCATAACCATGTC